TGCACTCGATTGGGAAACCGATCCGCATAGACATGTGCCATTTTTTATTTCGTTTGAGCCACGCAACAGACACTATTCACACGCGACACTAACTGTATGTATAACTGAACTGAATAAAATAATAAACTGTACACAAACATCGTTCCAAATTCTTTCGCTTTTTTGTTTCCGATGCGATGAACCGGTAAGGCGGATTATATCCGTTGTTGCCAAACACGAGCACATGATATTGAGACAGGGCGGTACTCAAACTTCCAAAGGGCTATAACTTTGTTACTTTAATTTTACCAGAAAAATGGTAAAGGAAAAAAACATTTCGTTTGATCGGATCTATTCACTGTTAAAATAAATGACTCAACTTCGAAGTCACCCTGTATATATATATTCGTATTCGTATACTCCGTATACAAGACACAAGATACAAGTACTCTATGAGGGCAACAGCACGTGTCTGGCTACTGACGTCACGCGGTCTAGACTCGCGTACAGGTACGTTTTCTAGCCTCGCGTCGATCCTTGATTTTAAAATGCTTTCCGTCGAAGTAAATATTAATAGTTTGCACTAAAATTTATTTCTAATAACAAAATCCCTCGATTTTAATTAAAATAAGAGAAATACGATAAATGTCGAACCTTCCTATTGTGCCGATGTACAGTTTGGCCGATATGTAACTGCCTGGTTTGAATCTTGAATATTTGTAAAACAAAATAAAATACGTCCATTTTTTATCTTAACATTTTATTGAAACTTAGAAATTATGTATTTTTTTTTTTTTGGCTTTAGGACTAGGCCATGCAGCCAGAAACTACGTTGGATATTTTTTTATATATTTCTATAATTATGGACGACAAACACACGACGTCACAACATCCATGGCGAAGGCGAGATTCGAACTCGCGGCCCGGCCGGCCGGCTGATCAGTAGCACGACACTCTGACCAACGCGGCCAACCGAGGCCCCAGGAAATTATGTATGAAAAATAATATCAGACAAATGCCCGCATCCAGAAGCCGCGCAAGCCTGAGCCCTCTTGATTACATTTGCCATCACTTTTTTGTAGGTTTCAGGAGGAATATTTTCAATCGCTTCAGCTGCTTTATCGTACTTGGTTTGTTGGCATAAACACTGTTTTTAAAAAATTCCCATTAAAAAGTCAGAACCCGCTAAATTCGGTGACCCTGGTGGCCAGTTGACATCACCAAATCGAGAAATTAAACGTCCCGGAAATATTGTTCGCAAAAGTTTTACCGTTTCCCTAGCTGTGTGACAAGTTGCTACGTCCTGCTGGAACCACATGTTTTACAGGTTAAATTGTTGGATTTGAGGAGCCAGAAAGTTTTGCACCATATCACGGTAGTGCTCGCCAGTGACAGTAAGAGAATTACCTGCAGCGTCTTCAAAGAAGTAAGGTCCAATGACACTTCCATACCAAACACCGCACCAAACTGTGACTCGACGAGGATGTAGTGGTCGTTGATGGATAAAACAAGGGTTCTCTAATGCCCAGATACGACAATTCTGCTTGTTAACTAATCAGTTCATATCGATGTGGGCTTCATCGCTCATTACGAGGGATGTCATTTAAGATTTACATATAGAAACATAGTAGGCCGCGCGGATCGAACGTCAATACTAAATCTTAACCTCACTCTTTAGTAAACTTAAATTCAAAGTTTCACAACAATACGTGCAGTGTTCTCACTACAGTGAATTTTTAAGTGTCACCAAGTCATTAGATAAATGGAACTCAACCGAGAATATTTTCGCGCCATAATTTATTACAACTTTCAGAGACAATTATCGCAACAAGAATGCCTTGCTGTGTTACTGTCTGTTTTCGGCAACGAAGCACCACATCAGTCGACAATTTCCCGTTGGTATGAAGAATTCAAACGTGGACGGGTGAGTCTTAGCAACGATTCCAGGGTGGGTGCACCAAAAACGGCAGTCACCCAGGAAAACTTCGATGCTGTGCGCAAACTCATCATTGAAGATAGATATGTGACATATCGCGAGATTGAGGCGTCCTTGAAGATCTGAAAGACCTCAATTCAAAAAAATTTACATGAAGAATTAGGAGTAAGAAAATTAGTTTCTCGTTGGATACCCCGCCTGTTGACTGCAGAGCAGAAACAAGCCAGGGTTAATTGGTGTCAAAAGACGCTTGACCGTTTCAATTCCGGAAACTCAAAAAATGTGTACAGCATTGTTAGTGGTGACGAATTGTGGATTTACTGTTATGAACCCGAAAATAAACGACAGTCGGCTGTTTGGGTGTTCCAAGATGAAGAAAAGCCAACCAAAGGCATCCGTTCTCGAAGTGTTTCGAAAAAGATGGTCGCGACATTTGTGTCAAAAGCGTGTCATATTGCAACAATTCCTCTTAATGAGCAAAGAACTGTTACTGCGGATTGGTATACCACCATTTGTTTGCCAAAAGTCATCACCGAGCTTCGAAAAATCAACCCCGAAAGAAGAATGCAAGCTCGCACACAGCAAAAAGCAAGGCAGTATTTAATGGAAGGAAACGTGGAATTATTGGACCATCCTCCATACAGTCCCGATCTAAGTCCTAACGATCTCGTTACTTTCCCGAAAATTAAAAACAGACTGCGTGGTCAAAGGTTCCCGTCACCAGAAGAAGCAGTTAACGCATTCAAAAATGCCGTTTTGGATCTGCCAGCAAACGAGTGGAATAAGTGCTTCGAAAATTGGTTCGAGTGCATGCAGATGTGTATTGATCTTCGTGGAGAATACTTCGAAAAACAATAAAGTCATTTAAAAGTACCTACCGTGTTGTTCTATTTCCATATGCAAAACTTATTAGACATCTCTCGTATCATCAGTTGTCGGTAAAAATCGTGATTTTGGATATTAAGCTGCAATATTGCATAATTGTAGTTCTTGTGTTAACTGAATTTTATATGGCCACAATTGCAAGTCTTTTATTAAAATTGTGCGTCATGAAATGCGACGAATACCCAGTTCTTGAGAACGATGTCTGATACACGTCTCAGGGCGCTCCACTTTCACGAACTCGCTCGATATTTTCCGGAGTATGAACAGTTCAAACACGGCCCCCTTGTTCTAGTCTTTAACGTCAGACGTTTGTTAAAATGTTTGGACCAACTGACAAATGGTGCTGACATTGGGTACACGTTTTAACAATACGGATGCGTTGTGGGATCAGTTATATATTCGCCACCCTGTATGGAGTACATTTGAAAATGATTTTTAAGTGACAATTCTTTCTGAAGAATACGAGCCCCTTCCCACTTCAGTTCGCCCACTTCAAGATTTGTACCAAAATATGCCTTTATAAACTAAACATGACGAAACTATTTACATCTAAAACAATTTATTTTCTCAAAAACATTTTAGATACACTCTAGTCGTAAAAAATGCATATTTGAAATCACTTAGACCTATAACTAATAGAACATCTGAACAAATAAACAATGTGCGAATAAATGCGCGAAGTTAACAAAGCAACAATTGAAAGATTACCATTGGGTAACATCACCTTTATTTTTTATGGACTGCTAGAAACCCATTTCAAAAGTGGTACATTATTTTCTTCCATCCATTTTATAGCCTTTTTTGAGGTATGGCACGCTGCACCATCTTGCTGAAACACAAAATCTTGGCCGGATGTCAAACATTCTGCCATCACTGGTAAAAGCGATTCTTCTAAAATTGCCAAATATTTGTTTGTATCGACATTTCCATCAATAAAATGAAGTTTTCCTACTCCTTTTGATGACATACTGTCCCAGACCATAATGGATGCTGGAAATTTCACTTTTCTCTTCAGACATGGAATGATTTCATTTTAAACCTATAACACCCCCCTGCTACATTTTTATTATTTGTGTTTGATAAGAAAAAAACTAAGATTTCAATAGTTGGGCCAACTTAAGTGGAAAGGGGCTCGTACTTCCAGCTGTTTACATTAAAAGGCAGCTAACGTTTAAACCGAAACAACATCAGAGCCTGAGCCTGCATATCAAATTAACGGCTGGGGCTGGGGCATAGTGTTAACCAAGTTTTGGCAAAAATTTGGTGTAAAACAATCCTATATTTCTTGAAGCTTTTGTCGCAGTTCGGTGATTGCATGTGCACGATGTTGTCGTAGAACCTTTTTCGTCTCGTGCCACAAAGTTTTAATAGGTGACAGATCTGGACTGCTAGAAACCCATTTCAAAAGTGGTACATTATTTTCTTCCATCCATTTTATAGCCTTTTTTGAGGTATGGCACGCTGCACCATCTTGCTGAAACACAAAATCTTGGCCGGATGTCAAACATTCTGCCATCACTGGTAAAAGCGATTCTTCTAAAATTGCCAAATATTTGTTTGTATCGACATTTCCATCAATAAAGTGAAGTTTTCCTACTCCCTTTGATGACATACTGTCCCAGACCATAATGGATGCTGGAAATTTCACTTTTCTCTTCAGACATGGAATGCTTTCATTTTAAACCTATAACACCCTGCTACATTTTTATTATTTGTGTTTGATAAGAAAAAAACTAAGATTTCAATAGTTGGGCCAACTGAAGTGGAAAGGGGCTCGTACTTCCAGCTGTTTACATTAAAAGGCAGCTAACGTTTAAACCGAAACAACATCAGAGCCTGAGCCTGCCTATCAAATTAACGCGATTGCTGAAAAATTACCTTGATATTCCCATTTTTTCTGACTACCTAAGCTTAATCTAACTGAAAAAAAACGACTTCTCTCAGATTTTCCCAAATTCTTGATAATGGAACCTTGTTGAGTATGCCTGGTAGGCTTGGAACGTAACCACATCATGATCTTTAGACGACTTGAAATGAATAACCAGAATCCAACAAGTATATGGAAAACGCAACTCATAAATTTATAGGTAGAGATGCTAACTAGTAATTTACAGTAACTGTATGTAGTTTGCGCGAAAACTTTGTGATGTCTATATTGCTGACAGTTTTAGCGTTTATATAAATACCTATAATCATACTAATGATAGTGTTATGTTCCTTGAACCACAATATAAAATGGGTACCGAGGTTGAGTGGCAGCTTTAGTCCAATAGAAATTGGAACTCATGATGAAAGTTATCAATATAATAAAATCTGTTCTTGGTAAGTAGGAATAATATTTTTAGCGGGTTTGTTAAGAAAGAAATATTACAAATTGTGATATGTTTGGGTGTCTATTATTTTCGTCTCGATCGCATCAACATAATTATTCTTATTTTAAATGAATTTTTTCATAAACAAAAACTACACTGAAACAATCACAGATCAAACAATGAATCATCGAAATTTTTATCTAATGATCAAATTGGAGGATACAAAACTATTTCCATCGTAAAAATATACAGAGCATTAATAAAGTACCTGAGCTTTGGGGTGTGAATTTATTAAATCAAAGTTCACATTAACACATCTTTGGTGATGCTTCCTGTTCAAGATACGAGTATATGGTGATCAAATTCGTTATAAGCAAACTTTATGTGAAAATCATAAGACATAAATTCTAGAATCTGGAATGCATAAAATAAAATGCTTCCACAAAGCCCAGAGCCCTTCTCTTGATTAATTTTTGTTAAATTTTCGGCGATACACCAATCTCCTGATTTCAATTAATTTTGATAAAATTTTTAAGCCATATTACATATCTTCAAAAAGATGATTATTAAAAAAATTGAAATGTATCACAGGACTCTGTGCGAGCTTTATTTTACTATGAGCCAAGGAATCATCTCTTGGAGCTAAACTAGACAATTTATCAATAACTGTATTGAGATAAAACTGTAGTTTGGCTTTCAAAAGTTTTATTTCGGACTTCCATTGTCCATACAATTTTGAAATCACAGCTTTTTAAGTGATAAGTTATCTTCAATCGATAAATGGCCTTCCTTGGCTATTTATACGGGTATCTCTGACGTGTCCTACGTGATAAGAAGATAAGAAGATTCGGAACAAGAAGAAAGAACGTACCTGCCACTCGAGCGGTTCTATTTAAAGAGGAACTACTTCCAAGTAAAATAAAAATTCTACGTACAAGAAGAAGGACGGCCAATAGGATCACCATTGTCTTAAGTCGTGGCTAAGCTGTACATGGAACAATTCGAGTCATTGGCCTTGGAATTCCCAGAAATAAAATTCATGCCTGCCATATCTTTGAATACATTTACAGCGTAGGACCATCGATAAAGGTTACGATTGAAGAGGAAGTCGACAACAGCCTTCCATTCCTAGATGTCAGAGTGAAGGTCGAAGAAGAACGACTAGATAGAAACTTCAGTATACAGAAAACCAACACACACATGGCAATATAGTATATTATTTTTCAAGCCATCCTATGACCACGAAGAAGGGGTTAATTCGAACTCTCGTTGATAGGGCTTAGGGCATCTGCAGCTCACATACAAGTTTAGAAGAGGAGACCCACAAGGTTAAAGCAACGGATACCCAAGAAGAATAGTAAAAATTTTGCAAGATGATACGACAATCACGAGAAGCACGTAGGGTGGACAACAGCATACCCTCATAATACCGTACGTGGAAGGCATTTCTGGTATAATAAGAAGAATCGGAAGCAGAACCTGATCTAGAAGATTTTCACGTTGAGAAAACCAAGGGCTGCATATACTAGATTCCATGTGAATGGGGAAACGTTTACATCGGACAGACGAAGAGATCACTAGCTGTAACGATGAAGGAGCACCAACTTCACACTCAACGGGCCGAAACGGTGAAATCACGGTTAGCAGAACACGCATGGAGAGAACACCACGAAATAAACTGGAAAGACATAAAGATCATACGTAAAGATGCTACACTAATATCACCGATATCCAGCTACAGCATGGTATATAGTAATGCTACGATACAGATCAAAGCAATATGGGACCCTATTATCAGCAGCATCAATACGCTATGGTTAGGAAAACCAAGGCAGACCTTCCGGAGAACACGTCATGACCATTGATCAGCCACATAGATAGCCATGGAATGAATGCAAGTTCACCTGAACACGATTGAACATAACTCATCAATTAAAACGTTCTGATCTCAAAATTGTATAGACACTGGAAGTCCGAAATGAAACTATTGAAAGATCCACATTGTCTACAAATTAAGACAACGGTTGTATTTTGAGTGGTCCTTTGCAAGGCACGCAACAAACAATATACCGGGTGACAATGAAAATTGGATACACGCTGCATTCTTTTGGCAAATAAAGATACTGCTCCAAGATTGGGACATGTTTAGTTAGTCATTATAAGGCATTAATGAAAAGTTGAAAAATCCGCCATATTGGTTACAAGACAAAAAAATATTTTAAACTGACAAGGTGGCGTTATCAACAAGCTAAGTAAATGAGAATTTGTACGTAATTATGTGTTTTTCATGTTATTATACTTGTTTGAAAAAAGAAACAGATATCCACATCTTCAACACTGGATCTCTGATAGGCTTTAAATAGGACCCCGTATACCTTTTTCAGAAATAGTATTCTACATAAAGCTTTATATTCAACAAGTATTACTTTCGTTCTCAAATATGACAGCTGCATAAAAGGATTTGTGGATTAACCTCCATACTCTATAGGTATTACAAAACAAAAAGTAGGTTTTTTTATTATTGGCTCTGAACGAACACACATTTCCAATGATGTTCTGCAAGCTACTATCGGTTTAGCAACAGACTACAATTACAACTATTTCATAGAAGCTACCAATCGCCGCAAGAAACTAAGGAGGCTATGAAAATTTAGGATACTATTCGAAAAGTATAGTAGGCTGTGGAAAACAAATGAAAGTCTATTCATAGCGTACCCATTATTCTTTAGTTATTTGATGTTTGTCAACCTTCGTTTCACAAATTTATTTTCACTTCAACAAATTCTGGGAATACTTTTGCGTTGTACGCTCAGTGATATCTTAACAGAAGACACCCAAGTTATTAGTACTTTTTCAAGATGATTGGCCTAGTGTAACTGGTTTCGTGCTCAACTTCAAGAAGATCGAAATTTTCGAGTCTTGGCTTATTTAATAAAAATAATACACGTTACTGGGTAACTGAAACTCCACTTTTGATAAGAGTAGGGGCCTTTCAGGACCGTTTTCGACTGAATGTGTCGCTCTGAGTTCTGGGTACCAGCATAGTTGGTACTATATTTTTTTATGAACCCTCAAATGGATGAGATTATCTTAACTGTTTGCAAAACGAAATAGACGATTTTCTTGATGGTTTGCCCCTGGGTGACAATAGGGATGTAGTGTTTCAACAAGATGGGGCGCCCGCCCACAAAGCAGACAAGTTACAATATATTTAACGGATAGATTTAACGGTCCTATCAGGTGGTCCACATGATTACCCGACTCAACCATTTTAAACTTTTCCATTTGGGCCTACCTTAAGGACAAGGTTTATGTCACGACTTCTATAAATCTGTCAGATTTAGAATCTGAAGATTTTTGAAGCAATGGGCAAGCAGAAAGCATAAGAAGGGTCAAAAAATGCTACGACAATAATGGAGGACGCATTGAATTGTATTAGCTTTAGTATAAGTTCTTAATAGTTTTTAGTACTTAATTTTGTAATAACTTCTTTATAACTAGAATAGTTGGGCAAAATAGGTATCGATAATTTCGGTTTGTAATAATAAAAGGGTGTTGTTTTGATAGTCTATTTCTATAAAGTAGGAAACAACAACATTTTTTCTATAACTTTTTTATATTTATCACATCACCACCTTGACAGCATAGAATATTTTTGCCTTGTAAGCAGTATGGCGGATTTTAGGTTATTCACAAATTCCTTTATAGCGCCGCCATTTTAAAACGGAGATGTCACTTGTCACAACGTTTTAAAGGGACCTTTGCAGAGAGTACGATTATGGAGGAAAGTATACAGGTTTCTGTTTGGAAAACGAAAGTCAAGGTCATTTCCGGTTAAGCCGGAAGGGAGAGATAAACCATTCAACTTTCCAGGAATGTCTCTTAATGACTAACTAAACATGTCCCAATCCTGGAGCGATATCTTTATTTGCGAAAAAATACAGAGTGTTTTCAATTTTCATTGTCACCGGGTATACAAGGCAGCTGAGGTGCACAAAACTCTTAAAAATTCTCAAAAAGCTCTCCAGGTAGATTTTCAAAATGATCGGATGAGTGGTGGATCAATATGTTTGATAAAACAAATTTACGATGTTTTCTGACAACCTCACCGGTCTTTTCCTTCCAATCTTTTGTAGGCATCGGGCTATACTATACCACCGTTCGTTTCAATGGAACCACCGCAAATTCGACACTCGCTCGTACAAGCAAAGCGAGTTCTATTGAATTGGCCAACAATACCTTGCCAATCAATGGAAGCTCGAATGCTGGCGATGCCGCCGGGGCTGGCGCGGGAAATGCCGTCTTACAGATAAGTCTTTCCGCTAACCGCCACCCGGTGGATAATGGGAAAAATGAGGTAATCGCTGAACAGAGAAAGCCTGTAAAACTGACAATGAAGCAGGGACTGATAATGAATCAAGTCATCTCCGCCTACGCCCTTTCGAATGTACAGAATGCCCTGTGTGCAGAGCACGTCGAGGAATTTAAGATTGGATTGAGAGCGTTCGAACCCTGGGCGTTACAAAGTGAGTCATTTTTTTCTATATATTAACATTGTTAAATCTATGCTACCTAAAGATAAAGAACTTGATACTATGTTCCTGCGTCCAAAAGCGTCATCTATGAAAATTTGTCATTGCTATGTTTCTCCTGTTCCCTCTACTAAGATGTATTCTTTTAAAATATGTTTGCTTAATTGATGCCGTTTTAGCCAACTGTATAAGCATATAGCATTTATTTGGCCACACTAATATTTTTAAAGTAGATTTCTAAGACTGTGAGAAGGGTGTTCTTGTCGCTCGGCATCAACAAAGCTTTTGGGCGGACTTTCTGCCGTTGTTCTGAAGAGGTGTGCAGGGGAGCTTGCTCCAGTTCTTTCGCGTCTCTTCCAGATATTTTACGAATTCGGCACCTTTCCAGAAAACTGGAAATTTGCTCATGTCAAAACAATTTTAAAACCTTCTAAAACTAACCCTTAGAACTATAGACCTGTAGCTTTGCGTTCTGTTATAAGTAAGGTGATCGAGAGGTGCATAAGTCTGAGGTACCTCGAGCGTCACGGCTTGATTAGCGTTAGGCAGTTCAGTATGGATTCTGGCACCAGCGATCCACAGGGAACCTCGTAGCTTATGTCACGCAATTGTGGAGTAAACTTATCCAGTCTTATGGTGAAGTTTATGTCCGTTGCTCTTGATATCATTAAATCGTTCCATCAGCTATGACATGCTATGCAAATTTATCTAACACGTGCCGGCCGACGTGTTAGATAATGTGGAGGTTATTAGGAATGATGAAATCTCGAAGGATTTTTCAATAATTGATAAATTTTCAAGTTCTTCCAAATCAGTCAGTGATTTAAAGAACATAGTTATGGTGTTTCCATTTATTGATAAATTCAAAAAAAATCCGTCCTCATCGAACCTGATCAGTCGAGTTTTTTGTTCGTCGACTATGTGTTCGCTTCCACTATCGCTTAAGAACAATTTCAGCAGCAATCTCGCCGGCTTACTCCAGACGATGATGTAAAACTTTGCCTTCAACCCAAAGAAATTTAAGTATATTTTCTCCTACCAGTTAAGGCAATTAACTATGAATAATATATATATTGTGAAAGGGTTTCCTTCCTTCCTTTCAAAATGATTTTCCATTTAACAATAAAATAATTCTGTCCTAATCGAACCTCATCGGTCCAGTTTTTAGTCGTCGACTATGTGTTCCCTTCACTGTTGTTTAAAAAACAATTTCAGCAACAATCTCGTCGACTTAGTAAATAAATGATTTTCCCCTAATTACTATTAGTTGCTACTTTAATAAATGTTTCCAGTTCCAGACGATGCAGAAAAAATTCTTTAAAGAAATTAAAGGATATATATATACAGGGTTATCCAAATTAAGTGCCCACCATTAGTAACTTTGTTATTAGTGAAAATACAAAGTTGTTTGAATTAGCAAACTAGTAGCATTTTTAACGCTGGTAAAAATGAGAAATAAAAAAAAACAATTGAGAGTCGTTATTTTGATTTTTTTCAGTAAAATAACATTTTTTTAAATGGAAACCCCTGTATATTATATTTTTTTCTGTTAAAGCATCAAATTTTAAACAAAAAAGCTTACAATAACTTTTCTCCTAGGTTACAAATTGTTGAAGTTATGGCCTCCAATCTGAAACAATTAAATTGTATCGACAAACTTTATTTTCAACATCAACTTATAATCTTACAAAATACAATAACAATTTTTTTTAAAGAAGATGCTCAAAAACACCACCTTGTTCTTCAATACATTTTTGGGCACGTTTTTCAACTGCTCGAACTGTCTTAAGTATGGTCCTACCATCTATCTGGGTTATCTTTTCCCTAACTGCAGTCTTTAACGCGTCAAGGTTATCGTACCTTCGCTTGTAAATTTGGTTCTTTAAGTAACCCCACAAGAAGTAATCAAGTGGGTTTAGATCTGGTGATCTGGGAGGCCACTGTATTCGGCCATTTGTTCCTATCCACTGATCATTAAAAGTAGTACTTAGAAAATGATAAGTACCTCTGGAGTTGTGGGCAGGTGCGCCATCTTGCTGAAAATGCAGATGATGTCTACTTATAAGATCCAATTCGTCTAAGAAATTAGTCAGAATTTCTGACATAAATTCCACATATCTTTCACCAGTTAGGGTTCCCTCATAAAAGAACGGGCCAACAATTTTTGAACCAATTATACCGCACCAAACGTTGAAACTGAAACGGACTTGTGGGCCTCTTGGATGTACTAACAAAAGATTTTCTCTTGACCAGTAATGGTGGTTTTTTCTATTAAACATTCCAGAATTTGAAAAATTTGATTCATCTGTCCATAAAAGGTAACGAAAGTTATTTACATTTTGGCGACAGAAGCTAAGATACCAATGGCAAAAAACAAGTCTTCTCTCTGGATCCCCTGCCAAAAGCGTTTGAACTGGTCGGTACTTATACGGAATAAATTTGTATTTTTTTAAAATCCTTTGAACAGTACCATAACTGAAATTAGAGTGCTTGAGAATATCTGCTATTGAATTCTCACGATAAGCTTCAAAATATCCAATAACTGCAATTTCCGTGGCCTCGCTTATTATGAATTCTTTTTTTGCCCTTGTTTTAGCAAAAACATTTTCGTTGCCCCTAAATTTTCGATAAAGTCTCAGAAAATATCGTCCATACGGTTGAATGCGAGCGGGATATAATTCACTGTAGTATTCTCTTGCTCTCAAGGAGGATTTTCTGCACACTAAATAGCATTCTAACATATCACACTTTTCTTCATGGGAGAACATTTTTCTTTAAATTAATGACACAATAAAGCTTATAAACAAGTATTTACACTAATGTTTGACATTATTTGATTTTATCATTGTTTTCCAAAGCCTTCTAGTTGCGAGTATGTCCAGTTTAACAATTTGTCGCTTATCTTAATGCTGTCAAATCGCGAACGCCATGTTGTTTTCATAGCCGTCTTAATATTATAATACTGCAAATAATTAAAAATATTTATCGTTATTTTGACTTTATTTTTGACTTTAGCGGAAAAGTCATTATGAACTTTTTTGTTTAAAATTTGATGCTTTAACAGAAAAAAATATAATATACAGGGGTTTCCATTTAAAAAAATGTTATTTTACTGAAAAAATCAAAATAACGACTCTCAATTGTTTTTTTTTTATTTCTCATTTTTACCAGCATTAAAAATGCTACTAGTTTGCTAATTCAAACAACTTTGTATTTTCACTAATAACAAAGTTACTAATGGTGGACACTTAATTTGGATAACCCTGTATATACGATATAATGTATTTTTTGAGACGTGGTCATTGTCATCTAGACCTCCTTACTGGTGGGTACTTCCACAAGATTCAAGCAATGAGGACTCTTTATACTACAATAACATTATGTTATTGTAGCTCCTGATGATGAATATTACTCATAAACAAATACATTTTGGGAAAATCTATTTGTTAGATGTTATACATGACATTTGAGGGCATATTTCTAAAATATTGGCCATTATACAAGGTGTCCCAATATCGACCTACATATCAAATTTTATTGCATATTTGGATAAGCCAATTCAAAAATAGAAATGATATAACATACTATGGGGTTTTGGTAGTTAGCTACTGAGATATAAGGTGTTTTGTCTAGAAAAACTCCCCACTTCGGCCACCCCTCAGTCCGCCATTTTGAAATTTGGAGTGCTGAATTTTGTATCAAAAAAACCTACACACCTGAGCCTTTTATTTGCTACTTTTTCGAATTTAAATTTTTGCTCATACAGGGTGGTCAAAAATGCAAATTTAAAATACATTTTTATAAGCTTTTTTCAAAATTAGCTTTGTGAGCATTATAATAAAAACGTGTTTGAAAATGAATTTCTCTAAAGAAGAAATGGTGAATATGGTGTTCGTTTTGAGAAAGAAATATTTTTCTAGCATGTCGCATTTATAAGCAACGGTACCCTAATATGCGACATCCAAGGCCGGAAACATGTTCCACACTACGAGAACGTTTTAATTTTGCCCATTATTTTCCTACTTTTTGTTATATACAGGGTGTCCTCAAAGTTGGGGTTTTCCTTTTCAGAAACAACTACCCTTGAAATAACAAAGGTAATGTGTAGTGAAACGAGGGCGACCAAGTAAAAAAAAATAAAGGAAAAAGTACTCACTCTCCAGTTGACGAGAAGGGCTAAGTACGTCTCTGAACGAAAACATACCGCTCCAACAGAAAATGAAATCAGCTGATGCGCTACCAAGCAGGCGCAGACAAACAAGGAAGGCAAAATGTTGCGTAAAAAGTCTAGGTATTGCATCCCATCCAATCGATTTGGGAGAATAAATGGTCCAATGAGCATACCGTTCACCATGCCAGCCCAAACATTCACCGAAAATGTTAGTTGAAAATGTGCCCGACGGACAGCGTGCGGATTTTCTACTGACTAAACATGAGTGTTGCGAAAGTTATTCACCCCATTACGCGTGAACGTAGATTCGTTTGTCACCAATATGCACTTCAAAAAGTCCGGATTATTGTCAGTTTGATGCAACAACCACTCTTGCTGGAAAATCGTCAGGTTGAAGAGCTTGTTGGACGTGAAACGGATACAGCCCCTCTTCACGCAGCGTTTGCCACACTTTAGTTTTTGATACTTGCACTTCTCTAGCCAAGTCTCTAGTGCTTGTTGAGGGATTCTCGTCTACGCGATTACCTATACACGCGTGACCGTAACCGACGGTTGATGGTTGCATACTGACCTGACACACTGACCCCGACCCAGTTCTGTCGTCGGGTTGAGCTAGTGTCCTAGTACCACTCGGGGATGTCGCGGCTACAGGACGGTATTAAGATATTTTTGATGTTGCAGAGCCCTTTATCTCGGTTTCCTAAATACATTGGTGTATATGCTTCTAGGAAAAATTGCTTATGTTTTCAAGATCTACACGTCGTGTAAAGGAAAACCCCAACTTTGCGGACACCCTGTATATATATATATATACAGGGTGACT